TCTCTTGCTACGTGTCAGAATTTTCTGATTATTTATTTGTTTGTTTTATTTTCAAATGTATATGTAGCTTGATAGCCCAACAAAACTCTCTAGCAGCTAAGAATATACAACAAACAGTGCTAGTAAGAGGGAAAGAGGGGAATCTGTTGGAGTGAGCACTTACAAAGTTGAAGTCCGAGCCCAATTCAAGGTGCTGGTTTTGACCTATAAAGCCGTAAATGGCTCAGAACAGGATACCTGAAGGAATGTCTCCTTCCTTATATGCCCTCACGCCCCTTAAGATCTGTGGGAGAAGCCCTGCTCTGGGAACCCTCTCTAAGAGAGGTAAAAAGGTCATCAACTCGGAGTAGGGCCTTCTCTGCGGTGGCGCCCAGACTCTGGAATGGACTTCCCAGAGAGGAATGCCTGGCATCAATTTTATACTCTTTTCAGCACCAGGCCAAAACCTTTTTATTTAAATGGTATTTTAAAAATTAATAACTTTTAACCTTCAGTCGCTCTGTTTGTTTTGTGATGTATTGTTTTGTTCTGTTTCAATTTATTTATTAGAAATTGTTGTTTTAATTGTTCTTTTAAATATTGTAAGCCATCCTGAGATTTTGTATAATAGGATGGCATACAAAAACTTTTAATAAAGAAAATAAAATAAATACAATCCATTTTAAATTCAGGTTTCATAAAACCTTGAAAAAGGATGGTCTTTGCCTGGAGCTGAAACAAACATAGAGATGGTGCCAGGTGGACCTCTTTAGGAAGCCTGTTCCCAATTTGTTTTCAAATTTCCAAACAAAAAAAAATCAAATCCAAAATCAAGTTTTATGATTAAAACATCCTAAACATTTTCACATCAAATACCTGCGTCAACTGCATAGCCCACAGACACAGTGACACACAAAAAGCCAGGCTGTCGAACTCTGGTCCAGAACACTGGTGTGCAGGCATATTGCTTCTGATATTGGAGGTGTGGTACAGCCATCTGGATGACTAGTTATTGATAACCTTCTCCATGAGTTTGTCCAATCCCCTTTTAAAGCCATCCAAGGTGATGAGCATAACTACATCTATATATTCTTGGTCGAGCATAAGGAGGAAAGGTGGCTGGTGGCAGAGCAATGTGGCAATCTGGCTGGGCAGCTGCCAACATTGCCTTGTTCTTGTAATACCCAGTGTGTTGTAGAGTTTCTTCATCCTTTCCTGGAACCATATAAATGCTCAGCCCATCATACGGAAAAGGCTTATTGGCCTACATTCTAGCAGTGCTAGTTTTCTGTTTTGGAATCTGGGATAAAGTGTGTGGGGACCACATAATCTGCAGCTGAGGACCACATGTGGCTGACAAGATACAGGTTGTGCACCCCCGTCTAGAAGCATGAGTCTTATTTTGCATTCAAGAAGCTATTTTCCTATTTCATGGGATTCTTGTTCACAAGTAAGATGTTCTCATTGAAAGAAACAAATGGACAGGCTTCCCATTTTGAGTATTTTTGACTCAAAATTATCAATTATTGGGAGCAAACTGCTTGGGACCAATTATTTGCTTATATTTTTATTCCACCCACCAATAAGGAATCAACAATTTGAAGTAATCCGCAGTCAGTATTGTAATTATGATGGTGATTGCATTGATACCCAACCATTTTTTTCCCTCAGAGGGACCAAAACAGCTTGTGTTCCTCTCCAAGTTATCCTCACAGCAGTGCAGTTGCTGGCCAAAGTCATGCCATGAGCTGAAGTAGAGTAGGTGGGAAAGAGGAAGATAGCAGTATCAGGGAAGGAATTTTCCTTATTGACAACTGCACTGGGAAATGTAAAGGTGTTGTTGTGGTGTGCCGCGGTTTTACGGATGAGACCAGAGACCAGTTGGAATTTTCGAGAGAAGAAGTTTATTACCTGCAGGGACCAAACATTCGTTGGAGTGTGGTCCCGAGCAGAAGAAAGCAGCTTTTTTTATACTCTTTTACAACTATGCAGGTGCTTGAATAACAGCGAACAATAGGGGAACCCCACTGAGCTACATTTGCACATTTTTCATGCTAAAGCAAGCAAGCGAGGGTACAAGGGCGTAACGTCTGCGGTTATGCTTGAGCGTAGCCTGCTTTGTTTTCATCCTTGCGTAGCGTGCACATTCGTTGGGGTTCTTGTTCTTGTTCTCATGTGAACAGGACACCCTGATCATGCTTTTTACCCGTGACGAGCCATGCCCTGGCTGCATGTTTGATTATGGGGGGGGGGGTTACAACAGTTGTGGCAGGGGCTGGGGAAAGAGGTGGCCCTTCCAATGGGCCTAGATGAAAAACAGGATGTGTTTGGCTTCATAAGCTGCCATTTGGCTGGCAGGAATAGAAAAAGAATATAGGAAATACACATGTAGAAGAAGAAGCATGCAAGGATAGAAAGAACCAGTGCAGTTGGCTTGTCCCTTCTCATCCCAGCATCCAGTTTGGAAAAGAGAATAGGTCCAAAAACAAACAAAACAAAACAAAAATGAAGGAAGTAAGGAACATCTGAGTCCAGAGATCACTGTAAACAGCTTCTGAAAATCACTAGGTAAAAAGCAAACATAGCAGTTCCCACCTGCCCTAGCAAGATTGGTTCTTTCCAGAGTATCATGCAGGAATGCTTGCTACCCAGACCTTACAGCCATGTGTGATCTGCACCTTTTACCAATGCAGAAAAAGCAGAAAAAAGGAAGGAATGTGGAGTTAGACTCCTGTTGAGCTCCTGCTGCTGAGGGCAGGGTAATTTTGTACTTCTGTGCATGAGCAGTACAGCCTGTGTCCAGAGGCTTCCACAGAATCTCCCTAATGGTCTCCATTAGTAATTCAACTAATTGCAGCAATTACATGAAGGGGTTGCTGTTGGGGAGAGAAGCCATTATAGTTCTCCTTAACACACTGTGGTACATGCTGCTTGTTAATTAGAGCGGACACACACACTCACACACACAAGAATTACCAGCTGGAAAGTGCAAGGAACATGTGCTGCAATTCAGCAGGGCCACAGATGCTCGTGATGTTGCCTCAGCTTTTCGGAGCCAGACCTTCCACCTGACCTGCTGTGCTCCAACCATTCCATTAATATTCTGTTGGAATCCAACCCTGTGCATTGAGTGGGGATGAGAGTTTTGATTTATGTGGCTGTAGTGCCAGAAGGGAAATGTTCTGTCTCACTAATTTAACAGTGTGGTACATCTATCCAATCCAAAGTATACCTGGACTTTTAACCACACAGTCTGCATTGGTGTAACAAACCAGAAGGATAAGCTGTGCAAAAGACACATTCTGTTCATGCGTAAATGGATATTGTCCACATTGTATCATATTTTTAGATCTTGAAAGTGCATTTTGATGGAACAGAACATACACGTGCCCACCACGTGTCCTCATAGCATAGCATTTTATACAAGTGTTCACCAACTCTGAGCTTTGACCAGGACTCTCAGTTGGCACTGCCCCCTTATCAGCTTTTTAGAGAAATGAAATTAAAATATGCTATTTGGAGATGAGGTAGAATGTCTGCTTCTCTGAGCGGGAATCAGCAACTAAGTATTATTCTGTGGCTCTGGTTGCTTTAGAGGGAAGCCTGCCTCACCTGGAGAAGCACCAGAAATGGGTCCAAATGTATCCAATTTAGCTTGAGATTCAGGCTTCATCCAGAGTACATCTTCAGTACCTTAACATGCTGTTCTACAATTGAATGGAGGATTTAGGGCACAATTCTGCTGTTCTGATTTACCCCAAGATCAGAGTTGTGACCCTGAACAAAGAAAGAATCATTCTGGGTACAATTCCAAAATCACAAAAGTAACTTCAAGGGCTTTGGGGAGTGGGAAGGGGTCAGGAAAAGGAAGGGACAAGTGTTGCTTGCACCATATCCTGGTGGTATTTCAACCTCCTGTCATTGTGCACCAAAGCTGAATGCTTAAATGATCAAGACTGGCTAAGAGTATAGCCTGACCTTTGCCTCTGCGCTGTACCTTCTATGGAAAGATGTCCACAATGCAGCTTCCATGCAGCTTCACTGGATGTACTGCCTCAGAATCAGACTGCTAGTGGTGCTTTCATTTGCTGGTCAAAATGTTTACACCCTTCTCTACCATTCCCCCAAAACTATTGTTAATGTTACTGAAATTCTGGAATTCAGGTTTAATAATGCTGACATATCTGGCTGTAACATTTACCAAGATGGATGCATGGCAAATGTTTTGATTGGTCCAGTTATGCTTTATAAATGCTAAATATTATGATGAAACTGGAATGCACTGAACAACATGGCGAGATTGTAAAAACAGCATTATGAGTCTATCTTTGTGTGAAAGTAAATAATGTCAGCTGTTAAAAGGCATAGAAAGCCAGGTATGTCACAAGAACCCATCTATGACAGGGACAAAATAAGAAAAATCTTTTTCTATGGTTCAAAGGTTTGGAACAACTCATCCAGGGAGCCGTGCAGGCTAATGGGGCAGGATATAAATCCAACAAATGCACAAGCAAACAACTCCCCTAGAAGGAAAGATTACAACGTTTTGACTTTTCTTGCTCGGAAAAGACTGAATAAGGGTGGGCATAACCAAGAAGTATACAATTCTGCATGATGCAGAGAAAGTAATACTAGAACCAAGGGTCATCCCTTAAAGCTGAAGGATGGTGGATTCCAGATAAATAAACAGGAGCATTGCTTCCCATGGACAATCAACTATAGCAGTATGTCTCAGTATACCAAGCCTGGAGAATACATGTAGGAGAGTGCTATTTGACTCTGTTGTGGTTTTCCCATGGATACCTGCTTAGTCGCTGGGGGAACAGAAGCCTGGAGAAGCCTTTGATCTGCTGCCACAGGGATCTTCTGAGGGTCCAAGCCCAACACTGGTGTTGCTGCTTCTCTAGGGGCTCCGTGATTGTGTTCATTGTGCCACCAGCTTTATCTGCTTTGAATATCGTTCCCTTTACCTAACCACAGGGTCTTTTCTCTTTGTCTCCTTGTTCTTATTCACCTTTCAGACAACAGATGACCTCGTTTCTTCAGCAGAATGTTCTAACGATGATGAAGATCTCATTGAATGTGAGCAGAGTGTAGGTAAGCCAGGTCAGTCTTCTTTCTTGCTTGCTTTCTTATTTCATTTGCAGTAAGTAATGCCTACATATATATATGTGTGTGAATGTATACATATATATGAACGCTTATATATGTATATGTGATATATGTATATATGTGTAGAACTGTGTATCCAATATAATGCATAAAGCCAAGCATCCAATCCCATGGAGTTGGCAGGAGCAAGACACAAATATGTTGGCATTTGGGCAAGCCAGCTCCAAAGGAACCAAACCTTCTTGAACCAGTGGCTGCTCAGCATAACATGAATCTTTGTGCTATGTATCTGTAGTGGTTTTGGAACTGGCTCTAGTGGGAAAAAAACAAAAACAGTGTGGTATTTTTATATGGGGATATTAACATTTTGGGTGGCTATTATCGCATCTGTTATACAATCCATCTTGATGGATGTGAAAAAGTACCACAAAAGTTCCATTTGTCCATGGGATTTTGTATGCGGTTAACATGGCAGTGGAGTCATACTAATGTTGTTCTCTGTTTACCTGAACAATTTGAGAAAGACTAAACCATCATCAGTCCAAAGCAAATATTGAGGCCTGCCATGTTCCCTGCAGCTACGATGCTTCAAAATGTATCCACTGAACAGTCAAAAGTGATTTCAGCAATCTGAATCAGACTCGATTTCTCCCTTCGAGCCTAGATACATTTTGATGGCTTGATGGCTTTTCTTTCTAATGGGATAGATATGACAGTATAATATCCAGCAGGCAACTGCAGTCTATTTATTTTTAACTGATTTCTTTTTCAAAATCTTTCTTTAATTTTAATTTTAATTTTGAGGCTTGTCATGAGTTAAGCATTTATATAATAGAGAACAGAATTTCATTGAATTTCTGTGTACATTGTAAAAACTGAGTTTTATGTCCTTAAAAGTGAAACACATAAACAGTCTATTTTATTTTATTTTATTTTATTTTATTTCATTTTATTTTTGTTTTGGTTTTTTTTCATAAAAAGGGGTGATTTTATTAATTTTGAAGAGGTGTTTTTGGTTTTTTGTGTTTTTATTGGTTTTATTTTGATAAAGACCAATATCAGATGGTTATGTTCATAGTTTCCTGAGATGTTTCAGATTAATACAATAATAATAATAAAAGTCACCCAAGGCTAGTGCTTTCACATTTCTCTTCCACCCTCATATTCTGCTTGCATTTTGGGGATAGGACTTGCTTTGACAGTAAGAAGAACTTTTTTGGCTTTGCATATATCTGGGAAGTTCCATGACAAACCTGAAGCCAAATGGCCTTCTGCATTGAACAACATGCTGCTGCACAGCAAAATGAAAGGCAACGGCAGAGTGGCAGTCTTCCATTTTATGTTATTGGAGTTTTCATGCCAAAAGCTTTGGCCTGTTCAGCCAGTGATGGCAACAGAAGCAGTTTTGTGGGTTCCAGTGCCTGGTGCCTCCTCTATGTGGAAATTCAGTATGTAAGTTCAATAACGAGTCTCCTGCTAGTCTTCTGCTTAAAGAAGCCATCAAACTTCTGACATCTCAACAAGGGGGTGAATTAGAAATCACAGAAGACACAGTGCCTGAGATCTGTGGGATTAACTTTGGCATAGCTCTTTCAGTAGGACATGTACACATGTACAGTGGCTTACAATTTTTTCTTTTTTCCCAGTGACATTTCCTCCATTCAGCCTTTCCCGTCTTATTCATCACATTTATACAAACATGCTGTGGTGTCAGGAAGAGGGAAGCAGGCAAGATTAGCTACTCAAAAAGGATCTGATGCTACTGCCAGGTGACCATTTAGGGATTTCAGGATGTTGTGATTAGGGATGAGGAAGACTGGGATATTTCCAGTTTGCCCCTCTCAAAGCCAAACACAGACTAAACACAATTTCCAGTCAGACATACATATATTTCTGAGCTTGCAATGTAATTTGGGCAACAAGAAAAACTGCATACATGAAAAATTTGTACAAATACACTTTAGGCAATAGGAGAAAAATGTATACAGCTGAAAATGTGCACACAGATGCAAACACTTGGAAAAAGGCATACTGACATGTGCGTGAATTTCTGTGCAGTACAACAAAAGCTCATGGGCCAGTGTGCACCCAAGTCAGAATGAGCTTTGAGGTGGAAATTGGTGAGTTTGAGCCTGCTGATCCATGCATCCCTTGTTGCAATTAGTTTGTGAATTTCATTTATAAAGGGCTAAAACATCAGGGTTGATCTTCTAAATAGCACTTAGGAATCATTGATTTAAACTGCACTGTTAATCTTTTAGGACCTCATTAAACTTTTTTCCACTCATTTCTCTGATTGCTAAGGAATTTGCATTTAAAATAGAAGCCGTTCTCTCCCTTTATCAACCTGCTCCTCTTATCCGCAGCCTGCAGAGATGTTGTGAAGGCAATATCACAGCTATGTCCATGCTGATAAATTGCAATAGCACAGAACCTTGAGATGTAGCATCAAGGAATGAATCAGACTGCCACAAAAGGGAGAAGTCCCTGCTCATCCATAAAGATATAGTCAGGAAACACAAGGGTCATGCCATAGCGGCACAAAGACAAAATGCTTTGCTTTGCTTAACTGCTCTCTAGATCATGAAAATCCTGTCTTCTGTATTTTCTGGAATTTTCTCTCTTTAGGGATTATGTGAGATTACATTTTTGCTTGCAACACATGTGAGTAGGGAGGCGCCAAAGTCTGTCCCTCTAGCATCCATGACGCTCATGCTCAGCCCTCACTTTGGAAGCAAGCCAAACCCAGAAGAAACCCATGGCTGCCTGAGGAACAACGGTCGCGGCAACTGGCAAACTGCTCCTGTGTCACATGCAGCAGTGCAAGCAAAGGCTGCAGCACTTGATGAAAAGGTGCTTGCGCAGCATTCCCATGGGCTGAGTTCCTGGCAAGCACCACACAAATGCTGGGCACACTTGCCAGAAACTCAGACTCACAGCTCTGGGAAAGCACACCAGAGCCCAGGGAGCCGAGCCCAGGGAATCTGGCAGGATCCCGCCACCAAACATGATTCCTCGCCCATCCCTACATAGAACATGCCCTGCCTGAAGGGCCAAATGAAAGCACGGGCACCACATGCTCACACCTGCCTCATTCTCAGTTCCTGCCCCAATTTCCTGGGCTGGCTGAAGCAGCCCCAGTCTATGAAGGAAAGTTGCAGAAGGTTCCCATTCTGCACAGTGAACAGTAATCATGTCACGAGTGGAGCCAGCTAGAGCTGGGAGTCAGACTCGATGGCCCAGGAGGCCCCTTCTGACTCGCTCTGTTTCTGTGTTTCTATCACACCTGTAAACAAGAATTGTGCCTGAGATAAGCAGTGAGACCCTCACAAATTTTCACCTTGTTTTTTGATGAAAGGAATAAATCCAGCCACCCAAAGCCAGTTTCTTTACTTGCACAGCTGAGGTACAGCGTGCCTGTTCAGCATATAAAAGGCCCAAGATCAACTCCTGGCATTTCCATTTCAAGGATCACAGATAGCAAGTGTGGGGGAACTGCCGGCTGAGGCCCTGGAAAGATGCTGACCGTCGATGGACAGAACTGTCCTAGAATGAGCATCGGTCTGACTTAGTATAAGGCAGTGCTTTATATAGGCAATCATTTTCTTTTTGGCTTCTTGGAATGTGATGGTGGAGGCATGAGGTTTACTGAAAAGATATTGCCTGTGTCCTCCATGGCTGGAATGATTTTTTCAAGCCCATGCGTAATATTTGCATGGCCACAAGTGTGACTGCGGGTTCATAGACTTGAGGAAAATACGTGGCCATGGCAAGTTGCTTGTTCTTGTGAGCAGTGTGACATTTTGGAAGTGCTCATCCTTTAGACTGAAGCAATCATGTCTTTAGGGAAATTGCATTATAATTAGTATTAGTATTAACATTTCTATATCATCTGTAGCTGAAGCTCTCTGGGTGGTTCACAGAATCATAGAATCATACAGTTGGAAAGGCCACTGGATTCAACCCCCTGCTCAAAGCAGAACTCAAGTCTCCCATCCAATTTCTAACCAGGCCTGACCCTGCTTTGCTTCCAAGATTAGGCAGGATCAGGCACAGAAGCTACAATCTAATCTTGGTCACTACTTCTGTCAGTGTATGATTTGTATAGAAAATTTGTTGTCCAAGATTGACTGAAACAGATCAAAGGGCCTTTTAAATGCTGTGACAGCAGCATGGAGAACCTCCAGAGCTCATAAGTGTGGCATGCATTGTTTCCTGATGATGATGTCAAAATCAATGCAGTGGTACTCTTTCCTGTGTTGCTGTCAGGTATCTTACATCATGGAGGAGAAGCTAAGGCTGTATCTGTTCCCCAAAACAGTTTTAGCCAGTGAGAAACTGGATTAACACTGCATGAAGAAGCTTCACCTCCATTGTGCTGGGCTTCTCTTGCTACCTGGCAGTATGTGAAAAAGTACTGCTGCCATTTCCAAACTTAACTCAGCCTATGTACCTTTTGGTAACCTCCAGGTAGCCTGGTAGTTTTAACTTGGAGTCACCATAAATGGTGGTTTCACATGTGCATAGAAACATAGAAACAGAGCAAGTCAGAAGAGGCCTCCTGGGCCATCTAGTCTGACCCCTGGCTCCAGTTGGCTCTGCTCATGACATGCCTACCATGTGCAATGTCCAGTGAGAATGAACAGTGTCCATGTGGCCACTTTCAGTGAGAGATGGCTTCCCATGAGACAAGGAAATCTGTGGAAGAGATGTCCATGTGAATGAATGTTTCATGCTCTCATCATAGGAATGTAGGAAGCTACCAAACCAGTCAGATTATTTCTTCAGCTAGTTCAGTATAGTCTACAGTGACTGTCAGAAGGTCTTTTAAGTCACATTTGGAGGTGCCAGAGACTGTACTGGAAAGCATTCAAAGGTCTCTCCCCTTCTGCTGCAAGATGCTGACCTCTAAATGTGGAAAAGCTCATGTGCTTCTGTCTGGGAGAGATAATTAGGTTCTTTCATCATTCACCACATCAGCAGCTGCAAGAGAG